CTGCAGGCAATGATGTTAGCGGTTGGAAGGGTATTTACCTGAACAGCTAATGGAGTGATAAATCACTCCCGAAGTTGTACTTAGAGTTTATAGAAATCTAAAACTAAGACGAGTGAGTTAGTTAGAGATATAGCTTTAGAGACATATTTTTATGTATAGTTTACAAAGGTTTAATAAAGCATACTTAACTAACCTGACAGAGGGTTATTATAAAAAAAAATATATATATATATATAAAATATAATATTTAAGTTAATCTTTAGTTAACTTATTAGAAGTAATTTGTTATTTTATTGATTGTTTAAATAAAAACTTTTTAATTTTTAATATTATTGTTTAAAAATTATCATTATAAATTATTTTTATAAATTTTACTAGAAATTAAAACCTAATTATTTTTTTTATTTTTATTAAGATCTCTTTTATATTTTTATTTTCTAATATTTATTTTTTAAACTTTAATATATTTATGATTATGGTATTAATTTTTTGATGAAATGAACTTGAGAATCTTTTTATCTTTTTTGTTTTTTATTCAATTATTTTTTCTTATTATATATTTCAGATTTTTTTAAAAAATCAATTGTATACTTTTTTTTAATTTTCTTCCATGATATTTTAGATTTATTATTTCTATAATAGGTTATTTCTTATTAGTTTTGTATAAAAACTTAATATATCCTAGTTAATTTTTGAAATTCATTTTATAGACTAGTTACATATACTTTATTTATAAACTATACATATAAAATGTAATGCAAAAGCTAAATCTCTAACTCACTTATCTTAATTATTATTACTTTAAGTATAACTTCAAAAATAATTTATTGTTTCATTAGTAGTCCAAATGAAAACCCTTTCAACTATTAATATCATTTCCTACAAATCCCCACTGCAAATTGCTTAACAAATTCTTTTAAAATAAATTTTTATAATATTTTATATTAATTTTTTATTTCTATAAATTAATTTTCTTTTTTGCAACAATCTGTAAAGGTTGATTATAAAATATAATAACAATATATTATATATATATATACTGTATATTAATAAAGATCAATAATAATTCCATACTTTAATTAAATAATCATTATCTAAGTAAAAACCGCATCTTCATTTAAGCACAAATTAGCATAAATTTTCTTTATCTAATTATACGAAGGTACAATTTATATTTATTTAGATAGTAACTCACAATTGCAGATATTACATTACTTTTCTTTCTTTCCAGCTGCCGCTTTATGCTTCTTGGTTCCACGAACTTTTTTAGCACGATTTTTTCGTTCTTTAGTTTGTTTTCTGGCAGTCTTTTTAGCTTCAGCAAGTTTATGCTTTTAAAAATCCGAGTTAATAATTCCGAGATCAAGTGATGAAAAGGATAATATTAAAAGAACATTATAAAGATAATCACCCGAACAAGCCTATATTTGGGTTCGAATTTTTTGGCTACTTCCAGACTATCATAGATCAAAGCAAAACCAGTGGATCTGCCACCACCAAAACATGTACGAAAACCAAAGACAAATATAACTTCTTTGTCAGCCTTGTACATTTTGGAAAGCTTTTCACGAATCTCATCTTTCGATACATTAGCGAGTCCGGGGTGAATGATGTCAACCACCATTTGTCTTCGTTTCAGAAGGCGATTGGTAAGAAATTTACGAGTCCTGATGGTAGCGACTGTATCCACCTACAATATTTATATCTATTATTATAATCACAATCAATCATTTATAGATTCAAAAAATTTACGAACCATTTTAATTAAAGAAAGTAAATCGAAGGGAAAGAACAAAAAAAAAAAATGTATTGCATTTAAAAAATTTTTTTTTGCATTAATCACGTGAATAATGTATAGATTATCGGAATTTGAATTTTTATTAAATTCATTATGCAATTATGCCAATGTTTATAGACTTTCACATAAAAAATATGCGAAGTCCATTAAGTTAGTTCAAATTAAACAAAATAAAGTTTCAACTAAATACTCTAAGTCAGATTTAGTAACAATATTTCACTTCTCTAATAGATTAATATTTATTTTTATCTATTGAAATTATAAATTATTTTAAAAATTAATAAATTATAGATCTGTGAATCAATTGCATAGTAATAGTGTTTCCAGGTTGCAATTACAAGGTTTGTAGTTCAATACCACTTAAGGATCAAAATCAAAAATTTATTTTTTTAATCAAGTTTATCAGTTATTTTGTGAAAGTTATACATTATTTGAAACAAGCTTAAATTAGATTAGATTACATAAAATAGAACTTCTGATCTTTTATTAATCAGAAACTGAGATCTATAGTCATATTATCAAAAGGATTGCATAGAAAAAGGTTTTTAATCTAGCTTACTATAAACATCTCAAAGATCTCTCTACCTTGGTAGTCTTCAGAATTCTATCTTTTTAGCTCAAAATATTTCAATATAGTATTCTGCTTAAATGAAAATCAGTCAACTAAGATTAATCCAATATTACATATAATAACAAAGAAGATAAAATGCCTCCTTCTGAGATCTGAGCAAATAATATTTAAAAATTATGTTAGATATATAATTTTTTTTTTTTTTTTTTTAACCTACAATCAAGTCAACATAATATGTTTTTATTATATATATGCTAGATATTTACAAATTGTTACAACTTTCATATATTGACTCACTTGTTATCAAAAAGTTATTTTTCTAAATGTAACCTAGGGAATAATATTTTGCTCCTTTACTAATTTGAATAATTTCTCTAATTAATAAAATCATTGCCTATAGGTCATTACTGTAGATCATTTTAAGTTCTGTTTGTAATTAAAAACCAAACTACTTTATTTTGTGACAAATCCAATTTTTAATCATATACTGTACTTCTTTCTTTCTATTTTTTTGATATCTTCCAGGTTCAAATCCTCTGAAGGTAATGTCAATTTTTTTTGATCCTGTTTGGTCTGTTCGTCAGATTTGAGCTTGGGCCTCTTGTTTCTTTTGTCCTCTTCTATAATATTTTGCTTCTTTTGTTATTCTATAACTTTAGTACAGTAAGTATTCCAGGTCTTCTTTTTAAAGTTTGCTCATATCTTTTGACAGAGTTTATCAATTATATGCTATGTGTTTGCTAGTGAGATCTTGAGCTACTTTTTGAGATACTTCTTCAAGAAGTTAGTCTTGCTTTCTTCCATATATCCACAGATAGTATTAAAAAGGCCCCTGTCAGATTCTTGAATCTCTTTAACCATTTATTTATTCAGTCACTTATTTTAGATTGAACTTCTTTCTTATCTTTAATTTCTTTACCGATAAGTTTATTGATCTTTTTATTTGTCTTCTGCTATAAGTTCTTCTAAGTTTTCCTAATGGCTGGATATTCAAAAAAATGTCCTAGTGTCTCTTCTTGAAGTTCATATGCTGGTAAGTAGTTGTAATATAAATATCTAGTTTCTTTTTCTTAAGTATCTGTAGAACTGAAAGTTCAATGTGAGTTAAGTTAGTTAGAAAACTTTTGTCTTTATTGGTTTTGAAAGAGATATCGAAGGTATTGGTTGGATTGAACTGATTTCAAAAGATTGGCCAATCTATAATTTTATCATTTTGAATCCAAAGATCCTGAATCTATTTCTATGTTGTCCAGTCTAGTCCAATCTTTTTCTTATTGAATATTTTAATGAAATCTCTGATACAAATTTCTATTGAGTATTCTTCCCATGTTGTTATCGTGAGAACTCTTCTTAGCTTTGGTAGCTAATATCAAATTATTGGATTCTCCTACCTGGCCTGTTTGATAAGTAAGTCTATTTGTTTATTGAATCTGTTGATTCTGTAGACTTTGACCTTTAGGATTTCCAGATTCAGATCTTTCTTCTTTACTAGGTTCTTGATCTTATTCCAAAGTGGCCAGTTAGTAATCTTTGTCCATCTTCTTGTAGATGTCTCTATTTATGAGCAGATGGATTTCTATACTTTGACTGTGATGTTGCAGTTAGTATAAATTGTAACTGTTGTGTTTTGAGATTTGTATAAAGTGCAATGAGAATAGCTAGTATTTTAGTCCTAGTTGCTAATGGCCAAATGAATACTTCTACTGAGAACTGTTTAACTATTTTGTCTTTCTCTATCATAATCCAAGCTAAATTCATTTCAAATTTATCATCTGTCATCCCTTTTTTATAAGAGCTATCTGTATAGAATATAAGCTAATCAGCCATATTTCTTTTGTTATATTTCAAGATACTCTTAAATTCATCTTTGTGTTCTTCTGTTTATATGGCTTTTTTTATTAGTGTGATATCCTAGTCTTTCACTTGAATCTCTATTTCAACTGGTTTGAAAGTTGATAGAGCCACTGTTTGCTAGAATGCATTTGTCTACTAGTCTATAGGGTTTTCTGACAGAAGGATTTGTTTCCTTTTTCTTAGATTATTATATCAATTAAGCTATGGGAGAAAATAGATCTGTGACAGGACTACTTTTAATGACTGCTCTATACTGTTTGGTTAAAAATGAGTATTATTACTAGTAGAATCATATACTAGCTAATATGGGATAAAATAGGTTTTGTTGTTTATAGATGTTGTCTTTCCCTATATATCTATTTAAGTATTAGCCTGGACTGTCCAGTAAATCTTCCTTCTATCTGGATTTGTTGGGAATGTCTCAGTTTGTATATTATAAACTATCCATTCAAGTTTATATAGAGAGTTTCATAGGACAACTCTTTTCACTGATCCTTTGACCACACATAAAAAAGATGTTCACAAGAAGTTTTTATACTTCTTTGCTAATAAAGTCTTAATACTTTCCTTAAAACA